ACTTCTCAATTCTTCATTAACACGATTAAAATTAGATGATAATCGTCATCAATCGAAAAAACTTTTTTCTAATAATTATAAAGAAATTCTTGATTATCGTCATCATCAAATAATATCACTTCATTCGTTCGGTGAAAATACAACTAAAATTATTTCAACAATTCAATCTAATCTCTCATCATTTCAATCTCTTCAATCACTTATTCTTTATTGTATTAAATCGGATATTTTGTCATCACTTATTCATCAATTAGCTTCTTTACCTAATTTCTGTTCATTAACACTTGATCTATGGATTGAAAAACAAAATTATACTTATATTTATCAATTAATTTTTAATCTACCAAAATTAAAATATCTGAAATATCGAACAATGGATACAAATGATATTGATATAGTTCTTTCATTACCAATAGCAACTGATCAACAAAAAACATCAATTGAATATTTTATTATGGATCATGGTTGTTCTATTAAAGATCTTTTTACTTTATTATCATATACACCAAATGTTCGTTATTTAAAATTTCTAAATCCTACTGATGCAAATAATTTATATACGATTGAACCAATTAAATTAATAAATTTAACGAAACTTTCAATAGAAATTTATCGAATGACATTTGATGAATTTGAAATTTTTATTAAAAAATTCGACGTAAATTTAAGAATGTTATCATTAGATATTAAACATGAAGATATGTCATATCTCAGTGCTAAGCGATGGGAATATTTTCTCCAAGGAAATTTATCACAATTAGAAAAATTTTCTTTTGAACAACTTGTATATTTTTCTGAAAATGATCAAACACCAATGTATTTAGGAGAACAAAATGAATTTAATTCAACATTTTGGATTGAACGACGATGGATATTTAAAGTTGAAAATGATTTTGAGAATTTAATTTATTCAATTCAACCATATAAGTAAATTCGAAAATTAAAGTCGCATTTTTTTATTTGATTTTTATTTATTTTAGAAAGAAATGGTATGAATATAATTCGAAATCAAATCAATTATCGAAATCGGTTGAATTTGAAATAAATGATGTATCACCTGAACAATGCGTAAAATCAATCAGTATTAATGATCATATTTATCATGCATTAACTATTACACAAATCTATCATTTACAAATTTCAATGACAATTTCTCTTGAAGATTTATATAAAATTTTAGTTCTATTACCAGATATTGAAACATTAACATTATTTCGATTATCATTTACTAACCCAACACATATAAGTGATGAAGAACTTCAACCATTATATTTATTATTTCATGAAAAACATTTTCAAAAAATTTCTTTTAGTGATGTTCATCAAATGGCAGATATTCAGTTTTTAATGATTATTTGTCTTCATGTTAATCATGTTCATCTTCATTGCAAAGATTATAATCATGCTGAATCATTTGTAGGACTTATATTATCTCATGTTCGATCAGAAAAAGATAGTAAACTTCGATTATTATCATTGACTATGCCAAAGTTTGCCAATGATATGATCGAATATTTAACTAAAATAATTAAAGAAAATAAATTACTCGGTGATTTTATTATTGAACAAGTTAAAAATGATGTTTATATAAAATGGACATGATTCGATTGTTTTATTAGGATTTTTATTATTGTTATAGACTAGATATGATATTTGAATAAATTGTTTAGTAGACTAGGAAAAGAATATTCATCATTACTGATAGATGTACCAGTTAAATAATTCAATTTATCATTATTCAGTACTTTTTGTTGATGTTTGTGAAGAATTATCGAGAATTGAAATAAGTATAAGGACTAAATGATCAAATACGAGTGTGGTGATTAGATATTATATATCGATCAGCACACAGGGTGGGTGTGGGTGTATTCGATGTCGATATTGTGTTTAGTATTCTTTCGCTGATTGAGATTAAAAAAGTCATCTACAGTAGTTTCAACGAGCCATATTCATCATTCGCTACAATCCTGAATACAACACAGCTACAACTCTAGCTAACAAGTAAATTGTGCAGATGGATCTGGGTGTGCTTTTGGATGTGAGTGTAAGTGTATCTAGTTTACTTAAACGACTAACCACACCCACCCTCAAGATCTAATTAACGACTTTCAGGATTAGGAAACTTCAATCTACTGTCAGTTTGGAATCTCTGACTCCGAAAGTCTTGCTTGTATAAAGTGAACGAATGCTGGCATGAGCCAAACTGAGGTCCATCTTGAGAATGCGTGGATGTAGGTGGGTGGGTGTGTCTTAGAGTTTAAATAAACTAGAGGTACTTCATGTAACGCATCTAGAACTATCTATGGGCAACATCGGTAATTTTTTGAATAATGCCATTGGATAACAATCAACGGCAACTTTAAAAAAATAATTCAAATGAAAACGAGAAAGTGGAAAATACGTTTATAATGAATAGAGCGCTAACACTAGGATATCAGATAGGATAAATGAGATACTCATCAGTTTTTGATAGTCTTTCAACGAATAATATTATTATTCTAATCGCGAGAGAGTTAAGAGCCAACCCAGAAACTCTTCATTTAATGTTTAGGGAACTAGTAAGATGCAGAAGATAGAATGCAAGTTATTACCCAGTTGAAGATGGGTGTGGATGCAGGTTGGGATGAGAGAGTAACACCCACATTCACACCTACCCACAAACCGAAAAACGTTGGATATGTTAAATATAATACTTTTATTTTATTTTTTCTTAATTACGACAGATAACATAGGTTTACATCTCGATACCGAAGCATAATAAATTAAAAAACAACACAAAAAGAGATTTCTATTAAGACAATGCCATCGACAATAGCTAAAGTTATTTATTCCAGTATTTTTTATGATATATTCGTGCAGATCAATTGTTTATTAACACGACGATTTATTCGTTTTTTGTCTCGTTTCTCTCGTCGATATCGTTCCAACTCTTCACGTGTCATATCAATACCAAAACAGTATGTTAATATGTCCATTATTACAATAAACATTACAACAATTGACAGAGCAATAATTGCAATATATGAAAATGATTTTGAAATGATTTTTGAGATAACAACTTTTCTTGCAGTAAACTCACAATGAGAACCATAATAACTAGTACCAAGGCATTCACATTTATAACCTAATAATAATGGTCGACAAACACCATTATTCATACATTCGACACCTTCACAATAATTAACCATTGATTCACAATGAATACCTTCCCAACCATTTTCACATACACAATGAAATGTGGTGTTCGATGTTTCATTACACGTACCTATAAAGCAAAATAAATGTTTGTTTTTCATTCATGAATAGTGGAAAAGTGCAGAAAGTAAATACCATTATGTAAACATAGATGTGGTTTACAGATTCGCTCATCAAGTTCACAATAAGTGCCATTGAAACCTGATAGACATGAACAAATATATCCATAAGTTGCCATTTTATTGTTTATACATATACCATTGTTTTCACATGGTGTTCCCATCTCACATGGACTATTTGAGATATTGCAACTGAGACCGATAAACGTTGAATTAATGCAGGGTTTTGGAACAAAAACCAATGATGAACTATTAACTAAAGTTAAAGAATAAAATATCTAATGAACATAGATGATAGATTTGAGGATATTAAAAGTCGTATTGAAAACAAACAACTTGAACTTCTGCTCATACATAAAATGTATATATTTCAAACTAATGTTTTATTGAAAACTATGATGCTTTGAAAAATGAATTAGATCTTTAATCCTCAGTGTCAGTTTTACTCATATGATATGTTTAGATCACTTATGCATTTGGAAAGCATTTGAAAACAGTAGTGGTGTTACAAGCCCTTTTCCCTTTACAACATGTATAATACTAGAGTCAGATATAAGTCCAGACAAAATATTTGGCGAATTACCATCTACAAATATAACTGAGTTATCTAAAATAGAGAAAATAGTTTTACATACCGTTGCTACTAGTCGTTACCATAGGTGATGTTTTTTGTGCTGATGTTGATGATAATGCTGTTGTTGTTGTTGTTGTCGATGATGATGATGATGATGTTGATGATGATGTTATTGATGGTGTTGTTGTTGTTGTTGTTGTTGATACTGATATTGTTTCTGTTGTTGCTGTTGTTGTTGTTTCTATTGTTGTTGTGGATGATGATGTTGCTGTTGATGGCGTTGTTGATGTTGTTAATGTTGTTGACGATGATGCTGATGTTGTGAATGGCGTTGTTGGTGTTGTTGAGAATGATGATGGTGTTGTTGTTGTTATTGAGGA